CTGTGTTCATCCAGCTCTACACCTTGTTATCTCAGATTCTCCAGCATCTGCAGTTCCTACTATCTCTACCACATATGCCAGATGCTTACATGCCAAAAACATTAGATGTGTTTCAAGTAAATGGTGTATCAGAAAGTCAAGGAATTCTGAGTGAGGTGAAAATCAACTACAGTTGGTCAAGGGTGCTGGCAGGGTCAGCTGAACCCATTACATTGTTCCAGGGTGTTGGCGATAGTCAGTGCCAGCAGAGTAGGGTTTACTGGTGGGTCAGTCGAGGTGTTGTGAAGACGTCAGTCTGGGGATGAGCTGGATTTTCCTACAATGAGGCAAAAGGAGGAACTGACTACGATAGAAGTGAAAGCAAGAGGAGTGAGTGGTGATGCATGAGCAGGAGAAGCGGTGAAGTGTGCTGCGAGACAACATGAAGTGCGGAGAGTAGGAAGGTGTAGTAGTTTAGGAGGACGAGATGGGTGCGATTGCTGGAGTGAACATGACACATGCAATACCGAGAGCTGCCTCAGCAAGGTGCATGCACAGTGACAAAAAATATTAACCTTATCTATACCCCTCATGATTTTATAAACTTCTATAAGGTCATAATATTTTGATCACATCTTTTCATAAAACATAAAATATTGTTACCTGAGTGTAGTATTCAACAATGAATTTAAGTCATATTGTAAGACTTGTGAGTGATCTGCAACCATTTATTTATCGCCATAATTGACATCTATTCTTACAATCTGAAATATTTGGATAATAACGTGCATTCATTTTTTGTAAAGAAACAAACTTACAAGTACATCTCTTAGGGAAAACAAAATTAAATGCTAAGGATCATTGTTAGTTTTCCCTGGTAGGAAAAGGTCAGGTTCCACATTAAATTTCTAAAGGTAAAGCATATGCCTTTAGAAGAGCAAACAACATAAGACTATGATGGTAAAGTTTAGAAAATGAACTTTAATAGTAAGTATGGAAACATTAATATATCTGTAAATTGTACACCACCAGTGAAATGGTTCATGGAAAGAAATAAACAGCCATAATTCTTAATCTTGGAGTGTTAATTGTCTATGGAAGGTTTGAAGATGGCGAGATGTACCCCAAGATGTAAAAAGCAAAGTGTATCTCAGCAGTGTTCAGTTGACACTTCTGAATAACACTGAACACAGAAAAGAACATAAGATAAGCTGGGTGTTTTGAAATGTATTGTGCAAGGGAAATACTAGTGACGTGAGAGTGATTAACACTAAATTCATTAAATTAAGACTCTGCACAGCAGTTATATCTCAAAGATTGAAATTAAATTGTGTATGTGGCATGGCTAAAGATTG